TTACCCCTCACCCTTCCCAATCTGTCACTGCCATCTTGTTTGACATTAAATCAACTACATACTTACAATAATAATGTTCACAGCACTGCTTGCTTTTCAATTCTTGTGTTTTTTTTTTTTTGTTATTGTTGTTTTTTTTTGTTTTGTTTTCTCTGTGTAGTTCTGGCTGCCCTGTCTGTAGACCAAGTTGGCCTCAAAGTCGCAGAGATCTGCTTGCCTCTACCTCTCGAGTGGTGGTCAATTTCTTGTGTTTTAAAATTAGGAACATTGTCATTGTTAACTCTTGAGGGTTAATCCCTCACACACTGCCCCTGATACTCACAAACTCACCAAAGAAGAAACACGCCGTAGAGTCGGCTGAGACTCAGCCATGGCCACTGTTACAGAAGTATCTGTACCCCTCTGCCTCCTGCCTGCTCTTCTCTGGGAGCCAGGACACAGGATGAACAAGGGCAAGCAGAGAAGCAGTGTCCTTGTCCTCTTACATTGCAAGTGGAGAGGGAAATGGTAGGAAAACTACAGGCGAGGCGTCGGATGCTGGACTGCTTGTGTGCCCCTGGTGAAGAGGGGACAGCGCTGGAACACTGCCGAGTTTAGCTGCTGGGTGGTGGAGGTGTGTCCTGATGTGACTCTCAAAGGATGAGCAAGAACTTTTAAAGAGGAAATCCACGCAAGAAGCACACTGTGGGTTGGGTGTGTAGAGAGAGCAGAAAATGAGCAGAAAGCCACTAAAACCCCAAGTCCAGGGCAGGGGGTTTACACCTGATCTAGGAGAGGCGCTGACGCGCCGGGAGATCTGTAGTCAGGAGTCGAGGGCAAACCTCAGAAGGGCCATGGCATCAGCAATCTCACCCGCGCTGACTGCAGGAGCCTATGGGTCCCTCACAGAGACAGTCACAGGACTGTTGTGCACAGAGAAGGCAGGCAGGCGGGGCTGTGTTTGTGAGAACAGGTGGGAATGGCAGGCGGTGTGAAGGCGGTGGAGTCGGGTGGAGGGTTGGGTTTGACTAGCAGTGTGGTGAATTGAGCAATTCCCTGGTGCCTGTAAGCAGCCGGGGGATGAGTCTGCAAGAGCAGTCTGGAGGGACTCCATGGGAGCTGTTTGTCCAGACAGGCGTCCCCGGTGATAACAGCTCATGAATAGAGAACAGCAACAGGCCCTCCCAGCTTAGAAGCCTGGTGAACCTTCCTTGCCACACCCCAGCCCCCTAAAGCAGACCAGGGCAGCTGGAGAGCCCATGGTGGAGATACTTCAAAGGTGGCCCTAGGAAAGTTTGTGGTTATGTTTCAGGTCAGTGGGTCAGCAGATGGGAGAGGAAGAGGAAGTGACAGTGTTTCCGAGGCAACTGCTCTGCTCATACTTCCTTCTTCAATTTTCTCTTGTTCCAATTTGGGGCAAAACTAACTTCTGCTCTAGAAATACAACCCTGGGTGCACAGCACATCTTCTGTTTGTCTCCTCTCCCTGTAGACTAAAATTCAGCGTGGACAATCTTATTACAAAATGTCCTTCTTTGTGGTCCCCCCTTATTCAGTAACATGAAATGTCTCCCTTTTCCATCTCAGAGAAAGGTTGAAGCCCCAGTCTATACCCAAGTCGTCTCTGGGCCCACTAGTCCATCGGCAGTCGAGTACTTGAAATATGACAGATGGGAACATAGTTTTACTTAATTCTATGTATCCTAATGCGTTCATCTGCCTACAGCCACTTACAGAGAGTGCTATGTTGTCTAGCACAGTGCTTGCTGGGGGCTTGGTCTTCTTCTTTCTGCTAGAATGAGGGTGGGTTTCTGGCCTCACTGAAACCCTCACTGTGCTCTTGCAGGGAATTCTACGAACCCCGTGTGGCTGTGGCTTCACTCTGCCTCCCTTGTCCCGAGTAGCCTTCTGTAGCCCTATCTACCTAGTTTATTCCTCCTCCCGTAGGGGAACACTTCCCACGGGTATGAAGACCAGCTCACTGTGGAGCTTATCACCGACCATGTTCGTTATGAAAAATTAACCACCGACAGTAGCAGATCTCCTACAAAGGGGCTGTTCAAAGATGTCCCAAAGAATGGTAGTCAGAGCCAAGGCCCACCAGGCCACTTCTCTCATACTTGCACCATCTACAAGATGGCCTGATGGTCACAACTGGGACCCAAGCCTGGGCAGGAAGCTCCTCTGTTCAGCTGTCACGGCCCCCTAGTACCGGGATCGACTTCCTGCTGTGTAGAATGTGCACAGATCTCTCCACATGGTCTAACTTAGAAGGGAAACCCTGGACATACAAGCAAATCAGGGATGGTAAGAGGACAGTAAACACTCAAGAGACACTGGCTGGGTGTATGGTTAGAGGGATTGTGCCAGGCCAGGGCTTGGTATTGTGCTGTCTCGTGGCTATCTTGTCCTCTTTGGGCTGTATTTAAGAATGCCAAGCATTCACATAGCCTCTTGCCTTTCCCAGGCCATTCTTCAGGGCACAGATGTTTTTAGGCGTGATCTTTTTTTGGCTTGGTTATTGTCTTTTACCCTAAAGAATAATGAAATCCCTCCAGAACTAAGTATAAAGAATCCCCTAGCCACTGGGTTCCATGCTAATCAAATTCCCTCCGATCTACATCTTTCTGGGTTTTTTTTTAGATCCCTGTCCCTTTTCTGGATGATTCTGAGATCCTCCACTTTTCTTGCCTCTAAAAGTGACCCTAACCAGGTCTGTGGGGCTTGGGGAGTGGCTAAAGAGACCTAAGTCCTCAGAGATACGATGTGGCCTCTGCCAGACTTCTTCCCTTTCTTGTTGGTCCCACTTATTCCTATGGAGCCTCACATCACTCTGCTGCAATAAGGGGTCGTCTTCCATATCTGACGTTGCTGTAGATGGGCGACCATAGGAGCTGCACTGGAACGAATGGGCTCACACTCAGGCCATATTACAGCAGAAGAGAATGCCATATCCTCCCTCTCCCACCCTCTTCAAAAGCTCTGTGTGTGAGAGACACTTTCACCTTTATCTAAGTGTGCCCTCTTCCTGGTACAGATGAGTCTTTTCAAGATACACCCCTACAAAGAGAGATCCAAAGCCACACGAAGTCTTCAGTCCTTCACTCAGGTCCGCTCCTCCTTGTTGCTCCACAGCCAGAGCCTGTTCATCCTCTCATGCTCTGGTGGTTCCTTGAGGAAGTAGTCAGCCCCAGTGAAAGACTCCAGGAATGAGTTGATAGCTGGGAAGGAAGACTGGAATCAAAGTCTGTTGTTGTTGTTAGGGTATCAAGACACACTGATACAAAGCAATCTCTCCAAACCAAATGGGCATCAAACTGAACCGTTATCTTCCACAGCCACTGACCGTATGCTCTCCCCTGCTGATGGCTGTCCAACAGAAGGCTTAATCAAGCGTGTGTTGCAACTCTTCCAGTGCTACACTGGAAGCTAAGGGCTGAAGGTGTGACCCTAGCGTCTTCTAGGAACTCAGAGTGACTGCAGGGTTGAAGGGCCCAGGTAGGCAGATGCCTGTGCACACAGCTCTATAGCACTCGGCAAGATACAGGTGACAGTTCTGGTCTAGCCTGAGTCGGTGGAGCAGAGACTGCCATTCTGCGTGGTTCTGGTGAGAACTAGCATCTGTGAGAAGGATGCTACGAACGTGGATAAAGGCTGAGAGCCTTGGCCTAGAGGGAGACAGGCAAGCAGGGATCAAACGCAGCAGGGAGAAGTTTACAGTTAGAGATTTGCACTAAAGATGGGAGTGAGTGAAATCGGGGGATCTGAAGCTTGAAGTGAGAGGAAAGCTGCTCTAGAGACGAGCTCCATCCTTCGAGTTAGAAGCAGTCACCAGCGGCAGAAATCAGAGTGGCACATGCTTAACCAACAGTGTGCTAAATGGTGTCTATGTTGTCTGTCCAATATAACAATTCGGTATTGTAAGGACTATCAACAACCCAGGTTAGCTAGTATGGAAACTGACTGGGGTTTGGAGAAGTGCCAGTCAAAAGCAAGGCAAGGAAAAGTGATGAGAATAGACTCAATAACTTCACCATATCATTAATGTCTCAGGGACCAACCAACGCTAATGAAATGAGCAGTGAGCTAGAGATCTGCTTCAGCTGTAGAGTGGAGCCCAGACACTGCTGTCAGCAGCGAGTCCAGAACTTGCACAAGGCCATGGCTCTGCCATGCAGTCCCTGCTACACTGGCTAGAGAAGCCCAAAGGCAGGTGTTAGAGGAAAAGGTTGCTGGAAGCCAAAGAGTGAATGGGTCACTTTGAGGGTACAGGAAGTAAGGACGGAGACAGTTGTTCTGGGTGGGGGTCACCATGGAGGCACAGGCCAGGACCTGATCAAATGACAGGCAGAACGCTGTAGGAAGCCAAAAGCCGATGATAGCACGCAGTGGGTGGAGGGGTCCACTTCTGCTTCTGCTTCTGCTAATGGTGACATCTGACCAGAAACATACGACAGATGTGCCAACCAAAGCCCTTGACCCTGCTGCAGAGGGATGTAAACACAGCGGGTTGGTGACTGGAGGACACAAGATAACGCTTGGCCAGAAACTTCAGGAGGTGCCAAGTCCTCTGGGTCTGGCACGGGGATACAGCCTGTTGGACACACAGTGTGGGGCAGTGGGGTCCAAGCTCCGGGCTGACTCCGCAAAGGGGCCATGGAGGGAAAGCAGTCAGCTTCCGGTGGTCTGTGCAGCTGTGTGGGTCTTACTCTGGACACAGAGCAGGGCATTATTTTGTTCTCTGTCAGATACTCCCACGCAGGAAAAGGAAGCACCTCTGTCAGATGCTGTGGCCACTTCCTCTTCAGAGGCCCCAGCCAATCTCCGTTTTGCGGCTCGCGGGGCCAGAGGCAGCCGGACTGCAGGCTCTGGTTCGTTGGGCTCCTTTCAGGAACAGGGCCCTGGCTCCTTACTGGGGTTTGGGGGGACATCAGGGTTTTCTTTCAGGTCCCCCGGCCCCCCTGTTCTTGATTTTCTGCTTCATGTCCCTCAGTCAGCCCGCCTGTCTGTTCCTCTCTATAGCTCGGTCAAGGAGCGTGATGACTGGGGAGCAGATGGCGGCCTTTCACCCACCCGCCACCCCCAACCCCCTGGAAAGGCCAATTAAGATGGGCTGGCTGAAGAAGCAGAGGTCCATCGTGAAAAACTGGCAGCAGCGGTACTTTGTGCTGAGAGCTCAGCAACTCTACTACTACAAGGACGAAGAGGACTCCAAGCCGCAGGTACCCGCTGGGTGTGTTCCTTGCTTCCTCTGGGTAGGGGTCCACTGGCTGCTTTTACTCCCCTAGGCCTCCTCGGTGAGGAGACACAGAATCACCAGACACCTCCACCTGGGTGGTACTCTTGCCTTGTCTGTATGCCCCGAGTGTGAAGATGACTGAGATGTTCCCATTAGCGCAGTAGGGTTCCTAGGGTACCCCAAGTCCAATCTCACACCATAATGGTGACACAGATGGCAACCCACCATGGTAGCTCAGAAGAACTGATGTGGGGTCTCGTTGTTGTTGTTCTGTAAGTATATCTGGAACAATGATTGTATTTAATGCCTGATGCATTTGCACATAAATATTCCCACACCAGTTCATTAACGATGTGAACTAAATCAATGAGTAGAGCCGGGGAAACAGCTGCTGAACGGAGCAGAACAGAGTCACAGTAGACAAGGGAAGCCAGCAGCTGTTAGAGGATCGATGAGTTGTTGGGAGACACGTTACGATCTTAGATGGGCACAGGAGTGCACACTGACTTCGTGCAGGTGGTGGGGATGCTAAGGAGAGGGGGCTGCTAAGTGGACCTCTGGGACCAGAGCCTTCTGGGCAGAGGGAACGGCCACACGCAGACTAGAGGAGCATGTGTGACCTGGGTAGAAAGCACGAAGGGTTCCGGGTGGCAGGAACAGAACCAGTACAGAGACCCAGAGGGGAAGAGCTCAGAGAAGTCAGGGCAGGGGTGGAGGTTTAGGGGGCAGGTTGTGAGTGCCGCTACACAGACTCAGGCATTTATTTACACTGTGTGTCATGAGAGCCACCGTGGGTTTCTGACTGGACGGAAGGCTGTCTTTAGCTTGCTGTAAACAGATGGTTCTCTGTGTCCTAAACAGAATGAAGTTTGAGTAGGAAGCTTAGGTAACACTGTTAGTGGGGACAGGACTAGGAACGTCAGAGGGAGCTGGGGGCTGGGGGCAGCAGTGGTAAGATTCAGGGTTTACGAGAACAGAGGCACAGCGTCATACCTGAGGGTCAGGATGAGTCCACAGACAGCTTTGATCCTCAGTCTCGGGCCCGTCCCTTCTCCCTGCACCCTCTATTCTGTCTATAGCGGGAATGAGAGTGTGAGAGGCTATCATCAGCCATGCCTATGGGACCCCGAGTATAAACTGAGGTCTCGAGCGCCCAAGACGGCTGCACACCCACCTAGAGTTCCTATCTGTGGTAACGGAAGCAGCGTGGAAGGGCTTTACTAGAACTTCTTAGAGAAAATAGATTCCAAAAATTAGGAAGGAGAAGATGAGGCATATAAGGATATTGGAGGTGTCTGAGCAGATGAACCGACGAGCTGGTGGGAGGAACCAAAATGAAAGTCAAGGGACTCTGCCTCGCCAGCGTGTGCGGAGATCTGTGTGTGGTGAGTGGACTTCCTGTTCTTTATGAACAACACAGACCTGTCGAGCCTAGCACACGTAGGACAAGATCACAGTGGCTAGCGTGTCAGCAACGTGAGAATCCTCTGGGAGGCAACGCCGTGTTGCCACCCCAGCCTACCGAGAGGCCACTGGGTAGAGGCTGTCTCTGTGAAGTGTGGAAAGGGGAACTTGTCTCCCTCGGAGCACTGCGCTCTTCTCGTGGCCCTGCAATTATCTCTGCCTTTTCTGGATTCTCCTTCTTGTTTAAATGAGACAATACTGCCTGGCCTGTGTTTATCACTTGCTCTAATAATATAAAGTACACATGAAAACCTGTCTTGTAAAAGCAAGCTAGTGGCATGTGTAAAATAGTCACGTGTGAGTCCCTGCTTCTTCCCCGTGTGGGAAACTCACGACTCTTCATGATTAAATTGACCGGGGATGAGTAGGCGATTACGTCCTAAGTCTGCAAGGACAGTTTATTATGAAATCTGTATTATATATAGTAATTGGACCAAGAGGGCAAGTGAGGAAACCGCACAACCCCTGCCAAGTGGCTAAAAAAAAAAAAAAAAAAAAAGACCGATAAAACAACACATTCATTTCAGATCTAAACATGAAGATCGTAGGGCTAGAAAGGTTATTCCTTACAAAGGACATAATTTGCTGTGTGTTGTACTGCATGTTTGTCTGGAAAAGCTTCACTTGTACATGGTAGGAAATTTAAATCATTAGAAAAACACAAATAAAAACGACCACAATTCCCATCAAGAAGTAGCTGCCGAAGTCCAGCATTCCCTGGCCACAGACACTTAGAAAGTTGTCCCTTAAGTGTGAAATAAAGATTTCATTTAATGAAAGTGGCAATATGTCACAAATATTGCTTCTTATATTGAATATTATTCTACAATGTCACCAATAATCATGGCAAATAATATACTGTATAAACATTCTGAAATTTAAGGTACTTTTTTTGCTGTTGTTTTTTCATGACAGGGTTTCTCTATGAATCCCTGGCCGTCCTGGAACTCACCATAGACCATTCTGGCCCCAAACCCACAGAAATCCACCTGCCTCTGCCTCTTGAGTGCTGGGATTAAAGGCCTGTGCCACCATTGCCAGACAAATGTTCTGAAATTAAAAAAAAAAAAGAAGCTGAATGAGTTGCTGGTCACATTATTATCCCAGACCACAGCTGGTGACTGTCCTGCCGTCTTCCTGCCGTCCCCTCCATCTCATTCCAATGCAGGTCACATCTATTTAATGCTCTACTAACTTTATGGTCATTTGTCGCTGCTTTGGGGATTCCTGGAACTATCTAGAAATGACCTGAAAGTTATAGCTACAGGCTAGGTTCTTGAAAACAAGTAATGCTCTATTTCCTCATTCCTGACTGTGGAGAAAGACTTAAATGGGAAACACCCATTAGCAAAGAGGCAGAAGACACGGCAGCTGTCTGCGTGGGCTTAGGGGAGCTGCATTTTAAGAAACAGGGATGGTTTATTTCATAACTAAAAGTCAGTGCAAGAAAATAAAGCTTCAGATAATAAATGAGAAATTCTATGTGCATATTTAGTAAACAAATGTTCTTACAATTTAAAGTATTCTTCCAAAACTGCAAAAAATTCAAACAAATCAGTAGAAAAAATGGCCAAATTTACAAAAGAAATGCAATGTCCAATAAATGTCTACTAGAACTTTGACCTCACTAACAAGCAGTGTCATACAATACACATTAGTGATCCACAGTGTCCTCTTGCCAAAGTAGGAGAAGAGTTCTAAAGTGCTAGTGGATGAAGCCAGGGAACAGGAACCCTGCGCGCAGTTAGTGGAAGTGTATGGTGCCCTGACATCACAGAAAACCTTTGTCCCAAATTTCAAAGCAAAGGAATTCAGCCCAACAGGTCTGTCAGTGCTGTGACATGCTTAACAACAGACTCTCTGACGGCAAACTTTGTGTAGGACTTGCCAATATTTCTGTGGTGTAAATATTCATTTCATGTTTGCTTCAAAGTACCACATGAGGCCCAGAGAGATGGCCTAGAAGCAAGGAACATTGGCTGCTCTTTCAGAGGACCCAAGTTGGATTCCCAGGACATTTGTGGTGGCTCCAATTGTCTGTAACTCCAGCCCTTCTTAAGCTTCCACAGGTACCAGGCATACACGTGGCACACAGCTATACATTCAGCAAAGACATCCATATACATAGAATAAAGTTGAACTAAAAAAATCCAAGTGCCACATGACATCACCGAAGCTAGAGCTGAGAAGATTTGCAATAGCGCACGTAGTGTTCCACAGAATTTCTACCACATGGATAAATCCCACCACAGACATAATAGAAAGGTGTGGGAAAGAACAAGAAGTGACAAGCTTGGGGTAACACTATCTTTTTCTTTTCTACTTTGTAATTATATGGGAGGCAGGGAGGGAGGTATGTGCTGGGAACCATTTCCTGGAGCTGGAGCTATGGGCCACTGTGCTGGCAGCCAAAATCGGCTCCTTTAGAAGAGAAGTAGGCACTCTTAACTGCTGAGCTATCTCTCCAGCCTCTCATTATTCTTTTGAATATGAAATCATTTGCCATGCACTCACATAGTGTAAGTTTTAGTGATTTGGAATGTACCTCGATCTGCTTTCGGGAGCCATGCACTCTGGTTCTGCTCCGTCTCTACTCAGAATCCACCCAGGCCAGCTAGCAAAGTTAGTGACAGTAGTGGCAAGGCCTGAGCCCTTTTCTTTCCACCTTTATCCCCCCAGGGCATCTTCCTCCAGTTTATACCCCCCAGGGCATCTTCCTCTCATCACCCTCCTGTTGGTTATGGTGTCCCAGGGTCTCCCTGCACAGTGTACGTGTGTGGGGGAGATCTGCCGGGAGTGTTGGTGCCCAGTGTGTGTGGCTCGAACTCTTTCGCTTCTTTGAGCTAAGTCTGGGTAGGAAATCCTGGTCAGGAATTCTAGATTCTCGCTGTCCGGTGTTCACACCATCATTTTCCTGTTAGTGTGACTTGTGGTGTTCGGTCAGCTAATTAACATCTTGCAGCCTCGTTTCCTCATTTCTTCCTTCAGGAGAACAGTCCCTTCTGGATTTCTCGTGAGGTTCTGCTCCACTAATCTATTCAGAGCAGTGAGCAGGGTCTGGCACCTCACTGCTGCTCAACAGATTATACAAACATGCAGTAACGCCAGTACTTTATCTTTACAATTTGTGATGAAGTGATTCGGGGTATCAAGTCACAGTGTAGAGAGGCACCGCTGAAAGCGAATTTCCTTCCTGGGGGCATTCCTTCCTGTACAGGAATGACGTGCTTTCTTCCTCCGGAGCCACGCTAACCCAGACTAGTAGAGCAGCCATGTGACATAAGGATGGTGTGAGGAGTCAGGTGACCTCCAGACAGTGAGAGCTGCAGGTGGCAGCATTAGTTAGTTGCAGAGGGTGGCAGAGCTCCATCTAATAGTCAGGAAGCTTTTCCTCCTTTTTATCTGCGCCTTCTTGCTATCTCTTCCTCCCCTCCTCTCCCTCTCCCCTCCCTCTTTCCTCTCTCCTCTTCCTCCTCCCTCCTCCTCCCCTTCCTTCTTATTTTTTCTTTTCCTCTCTCAGACATATTTCTTCCTAGACCCCAGGAAACTTTCTTTTTTCCAGGTTTCTGATGTTATTTTGGAAATGTCTTAATCTTCTGGTCCTTTATGCTTCCACCGTGGCTGGTTTTTGTTTAGACTGGAATAACGACAGCTTTGGACCTGATGTCCAACCTTCAACTCGGTGACTTGTATATAAAACAGGAGCAACTAAGTCTAGAGAAGTCAGCTATGCCCTTTATCTCCCAATCTAAATCTCTTCTGAATGGTGGATGTGATGGTCCTTGCCACTCGGGTGCTGAGGATCTAGTGAACTGCCCTGTGGGAAAGCCCAATGCGGCGCTGAAGCACTGTGTGCGTGCAGGGTAGAAGTAACTTGGCTCTCTGACAAGGTATCTCTAGTCAGGCCCTTGCCCTACTTTCCCTAGGCATCCAGCGGCTGCCACGCACCTTGGCCACGACCTGAGTCAGAGGGATGGATGTCCCTTAAACTGGAGGCAGCTTTCCTGTTCCTCCACTCGCCCTCCTCACTCACTGTTAGCATCTCGTTTGTTTCCCCGAATTAGCTGCTTCCTAGGTAAAAGATTGTCGATTACATACGAAGCATAACCTTTGATCTTTCAGGGATGTATGTATCTGCCTGGCAGCACAGTCAAAGAAATCGCCACAAACCCCGAAGAAGCCGGGAAGTTTGTCTTTGAAGTTATTCCAGGTAGGTCGCCTGCATTTCCACCTCACACCTAGAAGTCAAGGTGACTGTCCCTCATTCAATCATGCCACTTCCACAGAGGTCAGAAGCCATTGCTACTGACAGGAAGTGCAGCCACAGCATTCAGTTCAGCATTCAAGGGGACGTCCATCTCACTGTCTGTCTCTGTCTCTTCCTGCCACAGAATCTTCCTATTTATACACATGAGTGGACATATAGAAATCCTAAACTCAGAACCTATGTTCCCACGACTGTTTCCAAGGCTCCATGCAGCCTGGACTAACTATATAAAATTTTTAGGTCATCTCTTTGTCCTCCTCTTGCAAAAGGGCATGGTGCCCTAGGAAACAGGATTCCTGATCAGGGCCCTGTCTGGGCAGACCTCAGGTCCAAGGCTCACAGTAGTGCGTATTTAACTCATGGAAGACAACTGTTGAGGGAGGGGCATCTCTACTTTCCTGCCTGACCGTCAGCTTGAGAACAAGCGTGGGGGTTCTCCTATTGGGTAACACATCCCACTCAGCCTTCATACGAAGTGTTTTAGGAGATGCTATCTCTCATCCAACAGCAAATGTGCTGGGCATCCACTGAGAGCTGGGGCTGCTGTAGGGCTGGAGCTCAAAGAACGGAAACAGTTGCATGCAGCGTACAGTCCAGCCTCACGCCACATAGCACAAGTGAACTATATAATCTGGATGAAACAACAGCTAAAGCAAAGAGAGAACACATTCTGTCTGAGGGGATGGAGGTGGTTGCTTCATCACTGATCATGGAGCATGCCGAGGGTGTGTCACTGAGAAAGTGGAATTGGGGTAAACTTAGGAAGCTGCTAACAGAGAAAGTGAAGTGTTTGGCTGGAGGAAGCCTTTCTGAGGACAGGGATAACCAGGGCAATGTCCCTAAGCCTCCACGTGACAGAGAATTCCAAGTGGATCAGTGTGGTCAGGGTGTCATGATTTCATGAATGGGGATTCAATAGGCACTTCTCGGCAATGTTAAGAAATTGAACGTCTACGCCAGAAGGATGCAAAGCCACTGGGCCATTCTATGGCTCACATTCAAAATGCATGTGATTTGAGAGTGAAATGTAGGTTATAGGGATGAAAACAGAGCGGGGATGGATATTAGCGAGGAGACTCGTGCAACAAGGCAAGTCAGAGGTGGTGTCTAAAGGAAGTTTCCCGGTGGGGCTTCTCACGGCAGAACCAAAGGGGCTTCTGGAGCCAGTAAATCAAGATGTGTTTTGACGGTGCAGCAGACTGAAGTGTGTTCTTGGCAGCGAAGGACACCAGATAGGTTCTGCCCAGCAGGATGTCCATAGGGAGGAGGAGAGCAGCAGTCTTGCCCAGTGTTTGCTTGTGCAGATACCTGGTATCTCTGGGCTTCGGTCCTAATGACTGTAAGCTGGTAACACAACTTCCCACTCTGCCTCAGAGGGACCCTGCGCTTACTCAGGTCATTCTTTGTTCTTCCCTGAGCACGATTGGCTTCAAGTCTACCCCTGGAGACACCCATGAGAAAGGCTTTCGTGGAGAAGAGACTGACAAGATGCCTTTTGAATTGGCTCATCCAAAACTGAGAAAGAAGGGTTGGTGGTACTAAGTCCAAGAGACCAGAGCCAAAGGGATTGGAAAGCCGGTTTCTGCAGGAAAATTCAGGGCTGTGTCCCTGGGACAGTTGGAATATTCTCTCTCTCAGATGACCTGGCATTGTAGGAAGAGGGGGCTTCAACAGCATCCGGTGATCGAAGGGATTCCTACTGTTTTTGCCCCTTCTAACACCTTTATCAACTAAAGAAAGTTCTGTATCTGCAGGTTTCTGCCTGCAAGGAGGCGTAGGAAGACGTCCGGTTCCTTTCTTCCCCTCATTTCTTCTTTTGCCACTTTTCCTCATTTTTTGTCCCTTCCTGTGACACCTGTCCTGTCTTTTCCACCATCTTTCTGCCACTTGACCCATTTAAGCTTTACTCTGTTTACTACAGTGAGAATGGTAAGCGAGGCCCCACAGTCTCCATTTGCCCCTTAAGTGAGTGTTGGAAACCCACCCTCCGCAAGGTTCTGTGTGGTCCCAGCAGCCTCTGACGGGAGACACTCGTTCTATGAGAAAGACACTCTGGCACCCATTGTCCCTCTCGCCGGGGGCTTTTGTTCCCTCCCAGATCGCCACAGCTGAGGTCAGGCTGCTTTGAGAAGCACCGGTTGTGGGCATGGAGACCAGTCTCCTTGAATGCTGAACGGAATGCTGTAGCTGCTCTTCCTGTCAGTAGCATTGGCTTCTGACCTCTGTGGAAACGGCCCTCTGCCAAAGCCAGGGCAATTATGAGTCCTGTATTCAGTGACTTGTCAATGGAAATATGCTATTGGCTAAAGCCACAGGAGTGGCCCAAGACCCAGGGTCACTGAGCGAGGGTGGACAGCACTGTTTTTACTCTGGGTGCTTCACTGAACTAAGAAACCAGGTTCAGCTTTTGCCCATCTCCCTGGCTCTGGTTCCTCCCGCTCTACAACCTTCCCATGTGCTACTCTTTCTTTCAGCCTCATGTGACCAGAATCGCGTGGGACAAGACTCCTACGTCCTCATGGCCAGCTCTCAGGTCGAGATGGAGGAGTGGGTGAAGTTCCTCAGGAGAGTCGCCGGCACGCCCTCTGGAGGTAAGGACGGGCACTGCACAACCATTTCTGAGCAGGCCTCCTGGGAGGAGGGGGAAGTGGGCTCCAGGCACCATCTCTCTTTGTGCAGTGTTCAGGGGGAGGGGTCAGAGACCTCTGAAGCCACTGGCATGATCAGGTCCTCTGTTGAGTATGGGGAAAGAGGCTTCTGGGTATCTCGCTGTTCTCCTAGCTCACCTCAAAGAGCCAACTCCAGATCAAATAGAACCATAGTAAGTCCTTTGCCTTGTCCAACCAAGGAATGTGATACCCCACAGTAGGGAATTCTCCACTTTGGCTAAAGTCCTGTCTCTAGGTGAAGAGATTGGCTAGCTGAGCTGAGTTACTGGTAGCCTTAACTCTTACTATGCCATGGGTCTATCTGTTATGGATCCAAGAAGTCAAGGACAAGATGGACAACCAAGGCTGGTCAGTACGGGACAGCTGTCCCTCAGAAGATAGAGGTCTTACAGATGTGTGGTAAATTCTGCATTTAGTCCTCTTTAAGGTATGCAAAGTGTTTGAGGTCTCTGGGCATCCTAGCGATATTTTCACTCTTGGGCAATGGTTGGACTACAAAAGACAAATAAGAAAAACCTGGTGCAAAATATATATGAGATCAACAGATGTGAATTTAGCATGTTTTTTTCATTTTATAAAAACATAAAGTAACTCAAATGGGTGAGTTCACAAAATACCATTTTCCAACATTTTAGGAAAATGAGCTACTTGTGTTGACTCCAGGAAAACTATAAATATGTAATTAATTATTGATGCTGTCTCTTATTTTAGAACTCATTTATGGAAGCGTTCATGGTTAAATATTGATTTTAGTTCCCAACAATTTCTTTCAGAAATTATAAGAATACCAAAATATGTTATGTAAAATTGAAAAAAAAATCAGTCATTTGAGTTCTTTTAATGCTTCTTTGTTCCAACCAGGGTTGTGAGTACGTATATTTTTTTCTAAACCATAAATGTAGAATGTATGAAATTTTATATGCTTTATCACTTAGTTATTTCATGTTACCATAAAATCTTTTTGAAGGTTTATTTTTATTATTTGTGTATGCATGCGTGAGTGTGCGTGTGTGTGTGTGTGTATGCAAGCTCATGAATGTATGCATGTATGTGTGCACAGGCATGTACATGTATGTGGTTCCTGTGGAGGTCAGAAAACTGTGTCAGATCTCCTGGAGTCATAGCTACAGGCAGAGGGCTGCCTTGGATGCTGGATCTACACTTGCATCCTCTGCAAAGAGAGGTCGCTCTTATCTACTGAACCATCTCTTTAGTCCCTACCATAGAATCTTATTGAGTCATTCCAAAGGTTGTTTTGATGCAGAATAGAAATCACAGCCAATGATGTTGAGTAGCAGAAAGGGTTGCTGGGTAGATGCACTGAAGACAGGGACTGCCATGGACCCCACAGGTTCAGGAACTGAAAAATAAAATTCTGTCAGTTTCTCTGGGTGATGCCTTCACCCATCGGCTTCTCTTTGCACGCCTGCCTTGTTCCTGTCTAGCCAGCAGTCCCTCGTGCCCACACTTGTCCCGCATCTATTCTTATGCCAGCCAACTTCTCTGCATCTTTCCTGCCAGCACTAACTCAACCTCTGCAGACCCATTGTTAACCCCAGAGAAAGAAACTCCACCTGGTTCTGCTGAGGTCAGGATTCCGCCTGGGGACGTGGGTCCTGTGGCCCTCCAGGCGGGGCTTGGAGAAAGAAGCCTTCAGAATAAGAGTGTCTGCTAAGGCTGTCATTAATGTCGGCACCAATGCACAGAAAGCTCTGCAGCTACGCTGGCTGTTTCCCAAGTCCTAGATGCAAGCTTCCATGATGGGAACTGTGCCAAGAAGAAGGTTTTATTTATTTATTTATTTATTTATTTATTTATTTATTTATTAGCGTATGAAAGCTTGCTCCCGTGCCGTGCCCTCTGTAATATCTTCACCACAACCTTCCTTAAGTCCTGGACAGCACGGCCAAGGGCCTGCTGACACGCCCTTTTCAAAGTGAAGGCCTTTGGTCATCGGCAGGGCTCATGGGTGTTATCTGACTTTGCATCTGCTCGCAACCTGCCCTGCCCTGCTGCCCTGCTGTGCTCTGTCCCCGTACTCAAAGGGTTCCTCTCATCAAATCGTCAGCCACCACCCTGAGAAAAAAGCTGGGTTTTCGTACTGGGAGTGGAAGGGGCGCTATGGACTTACTTGGGGAACCGTGTTAGCTGTGGTGTGATGACTACTCATGGGACCAATAGTTCAGTGCCGCAGAGTAAAATAAGGGAAGCTGAAGCTTGGTGTCATTTCCCCAAGGCTGAAGAGTTCTGATCCCTCCAAAGGCTGCCCTTTCTACTTATTGAACAACATAGCAAAGATGGCCTCCAAAAGGAATGAAGAACTTCTGTCTTGATCAATCTTTTCTAGGAGTCTCGAAGCGGGGAAATAGAGAAAATTGTTTTTAGGGCCTCACTAACTCAGAACAGCTCACGAGGCCACAGCCAGATAGCACCAGTCGGTATCTGCAAGCCGTTTGCATCATGTTTGTTGGGGGCGTTGCTTCAAGGCCTTCCTGCTTTCAGCAGATGGTCTTTAGTAACCACATCTTACAGGCACACTCCTTGTTCTGAGGCAGGTGCATGGGTGAGCCTCGAAGGAGAAATAGGTAGCATGGGGCCTCACTGAGGAGTCCAAAGTGTCGAAGATCGATGAGGTTGCTTCTCTGAGAAGTCGTTAGTCTAAACAGCTGGGACGCGGTGTGGAAGCCGAATGAGTGCACACTAAATGATCTCAGTGCACATTATTAACTCGGTTACAGGTGAGGTAAAAGTTGGATTTGTAAAGACAAGTGTCACACAGCACTTCTTAGAAAAGTCATTCCCAGACCTAACATGGCCTGCAGACAACAGAGCTTCACTACAGCCATGGCCTGCAGACAACAGAGCTTCACTACAGCCATGACATCCCTCGTTGATTCTTCCCATGTTACATGAGGGAACTCTAGACATGAAAGGGTAGATAGTCTCCCAGGAGATGAAGGGTAAATGGCCACCCCCAGAAGACTATCTGGAGGAAGCCAGTGGCAGGGCTAGAGCCAGGGCTCATTGTACAGTGCCATCAGTGAACTGCAATTGGATCGTAGGACATTCTCCCAAAACTGTGACATCATCAAGACACATTGCCATCTCCTTCCAGGCCTACGGCAGCTGTGCGTTTCCGACGTATGTCTCGGCCACTTCTCACTACCTCCATTCCTCCACCTGGTCAGAAACAGAGTCCTTCCTGCTCAAACCCACCGCTCACCTTGCTCACCTGCCCTCTGACAGACATGCTAATGCCATGTCAATCATGTCAAGTCCGCTCTGCTCAATCCTTTCCTGCTCTTCCTTTATCAGAGTAAAAGCTTCATACGGATTCACCATGCACAACGTTGCCTTTGTTATCTCTTTGTCCGTGTTTTCTAGTTCCCGCCCCATGCCCGTTCCTCTCCAGCCTCCTCAAACACCACGGGTACGCACCTGCCTTAGGGCTCTGTGCCTTCTCTTCTCTGTTTAGAATCCTCTGCTTGGTTTGGTTACTTGTGTGTCTTTTGTCTGGTTGGTTGGTTTTCTTCAGGTTTTTGCTTAAAGGCCACCTCAGTAATTCCCCGTGGGGGTCATTCTGTCGAACATTTAGTAGCTTTCTTTACCTAGTCCAGCCCTCTCTCTTCCTCTGTTCTGTTTTTCTCTTTGGCATGTAAACCCTTCCTTACTTGATAAGTGTTTGTTTCATAGTCCCCGTCACTCACTGGGATAAAAACCTCAATGTGTAAGGCAGGATTTGGTTTTCTCTGTGGATCCCGGGACTGAAGCAGTACCTGGCTTGTGTTGAATGGACTGGTTAAGGAGGAGCCTCTCCACATCAGAGTCACTCTGGGCCACTGTCCCAGGCTGTTCTTGCCATTGGCTGATGCCCACCAAGAAAGGACTCAGTGAAGTGAACGGCTTCTTGTAGAACTAATTCCCATGGAGGAAGTTAACAGCAAGTCTAGCTGAAGTTCTTTTTGATCCTTAGAAAAGCCGACGAAAGTATGGAAACTGGCCAGAATGGTAGCTGGACATAAAGAGCCTTGCCTCCCACAGTGGGGGGTTCTCTGACACCTGTAGCCTGCCTGAGTGCCAGCCCTAAATGAGAGAAGTCACTATGGGCAGAACAGACACCTTCTCTTGCTCCTGCTGCTGAAGAGGTGGCCTCCAGGTCTCCTAGCTTCTCAGATGTCCCTCCTTCCTGGCAGGCTCTGCAGGGTCCTCACATCTCCTCAGGGAGCAGCTGCTTGGTGTCTTCTTAGCAGATTAGCTGTCTACAGAGGACCAGCTGGGTAGACGGGCCGGAGCAGCATTTACCCTGGAAGTTGGGGATGGGATCCCAAAGTCTTGCCAGGAATAGAGAACGGAGGCAATCAACTTCTAATAGCTCATCCCAGGCCTCAGTTTTGGTGTGTGTGTGTGTGTGTGTGTGTGTGTGTGTGTGTGTGTGTGTGTGTGTGTGTTTGTGTGTGTGTGTGTGTGTTTTCCAGACTCCTCTCAGCATGGAGACCACACTCTCGAGTCATCATGGTAAAATTTGGCTTCTATCCCCGGGGACAGGCATCCAGGCTGCAGATGGTGTCTCTGTTGACTGTTTTCCCTTGCCCTCTGGGCGCCTGCTCAGTGGCTCCTGGACACAGGGGTTCTGTGTTAAGTTTCACCCTTCTCACTGAAGCTGCAGTTAGAAGACAGGGTTCCGCTCCTTTGTTTAGGTTTCATGGTGGATTGGCCAACACATGGCTTATGCAATGTAAATATTGACTTATTATAAACCTCAAGGAGTTTTTCTTCCTCTGGTCCTTTATTTCTTTATACCCTTCAGGACATGGTTTCACAATTCCCAGCACAGTGCAGCTTGTGGGATGTACCATCCATTATTCTGTGTGACCTCGTCTTTCTTTCTGGCTAAGCCTGATAATTTTTATTTATTTCTACTA